ACCCTTTTATGAATCAACACCATAATGGATATCTGCATAAAATCCCCAACTAAACAAATGACAAGTACACCGAAATCACACGAACTTTCATCAAAGTATACTACAGGAGACACGGCGACTATTATCTCCAAACAAACATCTTTCCAAACTTGAAACTCCTCGCATGAATGACATTTTTTCAGAAAAGATAACTCACATAAATCTTCCCGGCAATCTCATCTTGAAGCTCTTTACTTTGAGTTGTGTATGCACTTTGAAATTGTTTCCAATGGGGTAATTAGTTATGCATGGTATCCAAGATTTAAAAGATCTAAAATCAGCCTCCCTTTCTTTTTCCACTTTAGCTCGCAATGCATTATCATATTGTTCCCCAAATTGTTCAAAGTGGTTTTGGAATTGACATACCCATCAAAAAATGCATGCATACTTTCACTACGTTGGGTAGTAGACATACCTGCCCAGAAAGTATCTTTAAGAAATGCAAGCACCCATGTACTCTTTCTTTGTACAATCACAAACCATGCATTATCGTGAAGGTTGTGCAATCAACAAATTGGTTCCACCGCTCTTCGAACTCTTCACGCGTAAGGAATCATACAAAACATTTTGCAACTTAAACTTGATAGTTTCATATTCCTTATACCCCCTTAACTTTTCAGGCAGTTTCTTCATTTATGCCACAAACACCACATGTCTTGTACCAGGGAAAACAACTCAATTGCATTTTGCATGGCCTTATCTTGATCAGTGATTATTCCATTAGGAGCGCATCCATGCATTCAAGCCAAGAACGAAATAGCCATACAAATGTCTCAGTGTTCATGAGAAATAACCCACAACCTAACAACGTTGAAGTCCATGATGATCAACCCCACAAAAGCAGCAAATGGCATGTCATACTTGTTCGTCAGATACGTTGTGTCGAAGGTGATAACATCACCGAATTCTTTATATGCACCCCTACATCTAGCATAACCCATAACACATTTGTAATCGACTCTCTTCATCTACATCAATCATGTACAGAAATTTGAATCTCCTTTTGCATTTTCCTAAAATACTCAAGTACTGCGGAAGCATCTCCAACCAAGTCGTAACTTTCTCACTTTTCAATGTAGTTCCTACAATCTTTTCTAGAAACGTCAAATTCTCTACCATCCTGCCTCAACTGAACATGACTGAAAATTCTTACACGGTCTATCCCAGCCACATCATTAACTTCAGGTCGCCTTTTACATAAGGTGTATCATTCGGTTAACCTTGAAATATTCTTTTTGTTGGACTTGTAAGATCAGATTATGTTCAAGTACAATTGATTTAATTTCCCATTTGCATTCACCATTCAAAGCTGCACTAATCCGACTCTTACAACGTTTTGGTAACAAGTTGTTTTTTCAAAGTATTTCTAGACTTACATCTCTCCTTTCAAAACAAGAACATGCCACTGTACATATCCATCTTCCATCTTCGCCTTTCTTTGAGTACGTATCATTGCTTCAAATCCTATTTTGTTACCATACCGTTTGTAATACTTCACCAGACTATCACTGAATCAAACATCATTCCAATATGAGGCTCTACTTCTTCCTTGCACACATCCATATCTTCATATTCATCAGTTCATTTCTGATTTATAGTTTATAATACATAAATTAGAATGTATAATACAACACATCAAAATAAATAAACAATACGATACAATAAATTTACTCAATATCATTGAAATGAGGCAAACTGAGCTCTCCATATTTGAGGCAAACTGGACTTTATATTCTGAGGCAAACTGGACTTTCCATATTCTGAGGCAAACTGGATCTTCCTATTTTGAGGCAAACTGGACTCTTCCATATTCTTTAATCTGATTCATACAATCAGCAACAAATTTTTGTATCGTTTTTCTATTGTAACATATATTCAATCCAAAATAAATACAAAACTAAATAAATGTATAAGTTATATCAAAATGTCACGGTAAAAAATACAAATAAATGTATAAATATATAAAAATCGTTATTAACCTGCACAAATCTCTCTAATCTCCCTTTGACACATCTTGTAATCTCCCTTTCTTGTATCTCTCTTTCGACTGTAAAAAATTAGCTAAATGAAGTTTGATGAAATGAACACATGATAGCTTTCGTTTTCACACGGGTACCTGGAAAATGAGGAGAAAACGTTTGTATTTGTGGGAAGAAATGGCTGAGGAATGCAGAAGCGTGAGACGAGGAACAGACGGAACGATGAAGCAGGGACGACGAATTTTGGCGCTGGTTTTCTTTCGCTTTAGCTCTGTAATTGGAGAGCGTATTGGAGAAGCTAATATAAATAAAAAAACAATTTATTACTGAAACGCGAAATTTTTTTTTTTAAAAATTTTTAATAACATTAGACGACCGTCCATAATGGTTGGACGGCCGTCCCTTTTGTAAAGGACGGCGTCCAACCCTTATGGACGGCGTCCAAATGAATGGACGGGCGTCATTAAGTATGGACGCCCGTCCACAATTAATGGACGACCGTCCATAATGAATGGATGACCGTCCATGGTTAAAAATTAATTAAATTAATTTTTTACGAATTACTTTTGGACGGGCGTCTCCATACTTACGGACGCCGTCCACAATAAAAGGACGGGTCCAAAATTTATGGACGGTCGTCCATAATGGAAATTTATTTTTTTTTCATATGGGTGAAGGACGGGCGTCATTATTTGTGGACGCCCGTCCAAAATTAAGGACGGCCGTCCATAGTGGGGACGGCCGTCCCTAAGCTTTTACAAAATTTTTATTTTATTTTAATAGGGACGGACGTCCATATTATATGGACGGCCGTCCCTCGCATATGGACGCCGTCCATATTGTGGACGGCATCCAAAATGGATGGACGGGCGTCCATAAACTTTTACAAACTTTTTTATTTTTTTAATAGGGACGGGCGTTCATTACTTACGGACGTCGTCGCTGGCCTATGGACGCTCGTCCAATTTGATGGACGGGCGTCCATGTGAGTGAACGGCCGTCCAAATTTGATAGACGGTCGTTCACTAGAAAAAAATTATAAGAAATGGGAGAACACGTTCCACGTCGGCCAGTACAAAAATTCGGTGTAAAAATTTCGGTGTCCGTAGTGTTATTGTTCCAATCTCTGCGCATTTCACCCATCCACCGACAATTCCCTCTGCCCCTAACAGCTTGGTAGATTTCACCATTGTCTAGGGTTGAGCCATAGGATTTGACGACAGACTTCAAAAGCCACTACAGATGCTTTACGCCATATCATTTCAGTAAAACTTGTATCTCTGTATTACCGCAGCCACTAGCATTGAATATCCATCCAATAGACTTTTTTTTTTTTTTTCCTAATAACTCATCAAATTTTTTTAAGTTAATAAGGCCAACAGTTTACACAATATATTTAGTTAAAAACTTGCATCCCATAACAGAATTCAAAACTAATATAATCTCACTTGCTATCAAAACATTCAAAATATTGCTGCATTAATCCCAAGAAATAATTAAGTGGAAATCGGATTAGTATGAAATTAATTATAGATTATATAGAAACCATGGCTTGCATTTTAAGCCTAGTTAGTAAATACGGGTACGGCAAAAAAACGGTACGAGAAATTTAGGATATGATATGGTAATGGTGAAAAATACGTTTGTAAAAATTCGGTCATAACATTTGGATATGAACAAATACAGATACGGGTATATACGAGTTTAATACGGCACATTGTCAATAATATGTTTTGAAAAATATGGTAATATCAACCTGTTTTAGCACTTTCATGGACCATTTGGTTAAAATCTATATAACATTTCAAATATACGGTACAGCAAAAAACAGTATAGGAATTTTACGAGTATGATACGGTAAATAGTAAAAAATACGTTTATAAAAATTCGGTAAAAATTGGATAAAAAAAATATGGGAATAATTCACGAATAATACGACTGAGGCATATAATTCATGAATAATATGACTAAACTGATAAATATGATAATTTATGAATAATACCTAAATTATATGGCTGGATTATAATTCGTGAATTTTATGAGTAGGCTTTTAGTAGTGTATTGGGCCATATGCAGCGGTAACTTCATTGAATGAATAATAAATATGGTTTTTGTTTCTTATTTATTTGATTTTTTTTTTTACAATAAACTTTCATTAAACTAAATCAATGTCAGATAAACTCCTAACCTAGCAGCTGATAATGTGAATAAATATGATAGGCTTTTTGTCAGATGAGAATAGATCAAACTGATAAATAATAATAATCTTCTGACTCGTTTGAGTTCCATTTTTGGGGATTTTGTTTGTCAACTTTTCAGTAACTATTCTTCTGACTTGCTTGGCCAGCTGCAACCAACTTCGAGATACCCACCGGAGAACCCATGAAAATTCAAAATCTGGCCGCTAGCCGCCGGTTCTGGCGGAGATCAAAGTTTGAACTCTGGATATTCAAATATCTTCATTAATGGTTTAGTTTTTCTGTTATCATGTAAATTCTAAACTCAGTATTATATGATAAAAATAATTGAATTTAACAATGAAATCAGCAAATAAATTAGTTGATTGATGTAATTTACTAACATTATATTTATGTTAACAGTTGTTTAAATTATAGTAAATATTTGCTATTTTTTTATGGTAATGCTACAATATTAAAAGAAACGCAACGATTCATACATCGAATGACATGACGTAATAATCGTCGTAATATTAATTCATAATAATCGACGATCATGATTGTGTCACGTTATTCGATGCATAAATTTAGTGTGCTCATTTCGGTGACTGTATATTTTTATTTTTTTTATTAAGTTAAATTGTATCCAGACTTTGAATTATTCTTTTAATTGGAAATAAATAAAAATTATGAAGAAAACAAATCAATTATTTAATTTTCAGTTGCATAACAAAAGTAACGGTAACGCCACTCTTTTAGGGTACCAAATAACCCGGATATAGAGAGAGCCATTTCCTAAACGGTGCGTTTCAGCATAGAACCCGTAATTCACAGAGTAATCAACAATTCTTCCACCAAATTAAACGGAGGAGGAAAGAGTTGGTCTAAATCGGAACCCAAAGCGTCAGAGTCAAATCACTCCGATCCAACTCGTCCTCATCTCCTCTTCCTCTACAGCGAGAGAGAAATGTATTAGGTCAAATTGCATCAATCGACCCGATCCACCGTCGTTTTGATTTCATGCTGTGAGTCATTCTGTTCTCCTCCTTCACGTTCCCTTTACGACTCCATCCTTTTTCGTTTATTGAATGAAAATCTATCATCATCAATCGCAATTGATTGTGAATAAATGAATGGTTTTATTTAATTTGTCTGTCTTTGTTTGAAACCCTAATTTTATAAAAAAATTAAATCCCCAATCAGTTATGTGCCTTGCGTGTTATTCGATTGAAGTTTCAAACTTTCACGTTAATGTTACAATTATAATGCTGGAGAAAATGTTGCCGGGATTGTGATTCCAGTACCGTGGCATTCTCCTGTTCAAGTATCCTTAACGTGTGTTGAAGTTGAATTGTCTGTGTTTCAGTTTGCTTAGCATTTTGGGTAATTGAATGGTTTTGAACATTTGCAGATTATTAGCAGCTTCGTGAAAGTTTTGGTGATTGTCTGAGTTTGATTTACCGTACGTGTTAGTGAAGCGATTTTGAAGTCATTCAACCATGAGTTTTGTTTTTCGAGGTTCCAGAGCAGACTTAGAAAATGGGTTCCCCGGATTTATTCCAGAGAGGCGGACAGTGGTACATTACCATTACTACTTACTTGATCTTTTGTGATATTTGTTTATTCTGAGCTTTTGTTTTTATGTTTTGATACTGAGTTTGTTGTTTATCAGCGTGTTCATGCTACAAGACCTGTTAATTCCAACTCTCTTGCTTTCCTTGTTACGGGTACTTAAGTTCTTCCCTTTTAATTTTTTCTTTTTTGATGGTGTTAATGTATGATGGAAATTATATTGGTGTTATTATAATTAATGTGCTATGGGTTTGATGCAACAGTTCTCTTGCTATTCATGATATTGAATTCACATCAGATGTCATCAAATTTTCTGGTATTTTCTGAAACTTTGTTCATAAACCTAACATTTTAGTCTTTCTGGTCCACGTGACCCAAGTTTACATTCTTTAAATAGAAACTTAACAGGACTTCTTGTCAATTTCTGTGTAGCTTTGGCTAGTGCTTGGTATCTTCTTGTTGGCCACAACCCTTAGGATGTATGCAACTTGTCAGCAACTTCAAGCTCAAGCACAAGCACAAGCCCATGCTGCTGTAGCCAATGGCCTTCTTGGCCATACTGAATTGCGGTTGCATATGCCACCAGCCATGGCTTTTGCATCCAGAGGCCGTTTACAAGGCCTCAGACTCCAGCTGGCACTCCTTGATCGAGAATTTGATGATTTAGGTGTGGTATTATACCTAATTGTGTGTTTTTTAGCTGACTATGACTTAGAAAAGTTGATATTGAGCCAATTGCATTTTTAAAAGATAGAAAACTTTATTTGTTTTATTATTTGCTTTATTTGAATATTTATTTGTTTTATTCGAAAAGGTTTGTTAATAACAGTGGTTGTACATCAATAGATTATGAAGCTTTGAGAGCACTGGATGCTGACAATGTGCCTACGGCTGCTTCAATGAGCGAAGAAGAGATAAATGCCCTTCCAGTTCATAAATACAAGGTCTCTGGCTCTCAAAGGTACATGATAAGATTAGTTTATTAGTTTGTCTTCTTTCTTTATAAGATTCAAGAATGCTGCTTTTGCCACTGTTAATTGCAAAGATTGACCTCCTTAACTGTTTTGGGATTTTTGTGGTTGTTTGACAACTTGGCTTTTTTGACAGTGCTGGCTCCTCAATGCAACAGGCTTCATCCTCAGGCCCTGCTGAGGTATTAGCCTATTTCTAAACTTTGGAATAAAATAAGTAAAAGTCATGTTCTGCTTATGCATTTTATTCATTAGGTGACGTGTTTGTCTTGATTGTACTATTCTGTTAATGTCAAATAGATATGAGTTGCATCTGCGATAAATAGGTTTTGCCCACAGCGTTGTCAAATTTTAAGAGCTGATTTGGATATTTAATTTGAATGGGAATTGTATTGTTTGTTGTTCTGCCTTCATCAATCTCATCCTCATGTCTTTACTTATTACAGCTTCTCTATATATATTTATAGAACTGGTCTTCTAACCGTGTATCAACACTTGATTTTCTTTTTCTTATGACAGTGAAACATATCTTTTTAACTCTTTTTAAAATTTCATTGACAAAGAGGGGAATTATTGACATTTGTTGTGTCTAGCAGAAAAAGGTAGATACCCCAATTGCTGATGGGAGCTTGAAAGTTGAAGATGAATTGACTTGCACTGTTTGCTTGGAGCAAGTTACCGTTGGTGAAACCGTCCGAAGCTTACCATGCTTGCATCAGGTTTGTCCTCATCTTGTATTCACTGTTAAACTTTTTAGCTGTGAGGAAATTTTTTGGAGTCCATTCTGCCAAGCCTGCCATTTTCAATCCTCACATTATTTTCTATGCTATGAAGTGAGCTGAAAGGATTTTTTTTCAAATTTATTGAAGTTGATTTTATATGAAGCTATTTTTATGAGCATCATCGCTTATGCATGTCAATGGTATTGTTTTGCAGTTTCATGCTAGTTGCATTGATCCGTGGTTGCGGCAACAGGGAACCTGCCCAGTTTGTAAACTCAGAGCAGGATCTGGTTGGCACGACTCCAGTCAAGGTGAAATGGATGCTTCATACATGGTTTAATTACTTGCACAAGCCTGTAGATCATTGTATTTATCCGATGAATATACTCTCACTTACAATCCCATTGCTCAACAAGAAAGGTCTGATTTTCTTGATTTAGGCATGAAAGCAATTGCCTAATACTCTGTGATCGATTACCAAAAACAGCTGTATGTAATCTTCAAGTTCGCATTGAAATTTGAAAATTATCTATTAAGATATCCCTTTAATTTATTTTTTGATGGTTAATTTCCCAATTGGCGAATAGAGTTTGAGATATTTTTAAAGTTATGTTTAATTGAACCCATAAATTTGCATGATATAATTTCTCTTTGGGCTGATAAAATGAAAGGCTTGCGTATCATGGCATCAATTAAAGAAGAGTAATGTTACGCTTACTCACGATCTTACCAACTATCTTACTATCCTTTGTAAATATAACGCATAGTACAAGTATCATATGTAATTTTAACAAAGATAGTAAGACAGTTAGTAAACTCGTGAGTAAGCATAACATTATTGATTAAAGAAAGGTTTGATTCATGATTTTATTCCTTCAAACTAAAGATAATATGAAGCATAACTAAATAGGTCAAGTACTCAGTAGCCCCTAACTTATGGTTATCAAACATATATTACTAATATTATTCCTGTTAGTCAACTATCACGCTTCATAATGCACTTTGGTATATCCATTTAATAAATATATATAATCTTTTTGTGAATGAGAATGGAACATGGCCCTATTTTGCTTTGCCCTTTCCCTTTCCTTGACCCTTCTTGGCTTCCAACTTGGCTTGAATACGGGCAGCAGCAGCTGCTTTGGCTTCTTCTCTCTTCTTCTTCTCTTCCTCTTTGGCAGCAGCTGCAATCTCTCTTTGCTTCTTCAGCTCCCTGTTTTTATTTTTTTTCCAAGAAAAATGACAAAAACAATATTATTAGGTTCGACTAAATGAACAAAAGATATAATTGACAGCTTGAGTTTAATGTACATCATCAAACAATAAAAAGGACTCCAGAGAAGACTTACTCTAGCCTAGCTCTTTCCTCTGAAACACTGCCCAGACTAGAGCCCTTTCTTGGTCTGCAGGACAGTAGCTCCACCTCAAAAATAAGGGTTGCACTGCATAAGATATATGCCATTAACTTAGACACAAATTTTGCATTCTAATGGTTATTCAAATAAACACAAATTTTGCATATGACCACGAAACAAAGACATTATGCCAAACATATTGATAAATTGATAAAAAAATTGAAAATCAGTTAATGGCTGAAAAAAGTTTGCTTCTGACTCTTGTGAAATCACAACCTGCCAAACTTTATAAATATTTTCTCTATTTATGTTTGGGAAAGTTATCTCCAAACCACCAACTCTGTTGGCTCATTGATGTATTTGCTACATTTTTCCATTTCTTAGTATAATATATCATACTCAACAATATAAGGTCCCAACTATAAGAGTGCAATTGGTACTGGCACCACTTTTAATCCCCAAATGTTTGACAGGCATACTAATCTGGTGTCAATTGAAATCTCATATATCTATATTCACATAGCTATCTATTAAAGCATGCATGCCTAGAAGAGAAAAGGCTAGTAAAATAACATATGACGAAACTTACTTAGGTGGGATATCTGGAGGAGATCCTGCACTGCCGTAGGCATATTCTGGCTTGCAAGTTATTTTTGCTACCTCCCCAACCTGGTAGAAACAACAAAAAATACTAAGTGACAGTAAATTCACTCATAGGAAGGGAAAACAACAAGATCAATAAACTTATTCTGACCTTCATGGTTCTCAATGCAATGTCCCAAGCCTGAATGACTGATCCCTTTCCAAGCTCGAAAGAGAACACAGAATTATCTTCATGTGTGGTATCAAAAACTTCACCAGTTTCGGCAAGAGTGCCTTCATAATGAACTTTTCCACCAAAACAACAATATGTCACAGTCATGAACTGATTAGAAATGTTGAATCCCTTCTCGCAAGTTGCTGAACTCAACCATCAGCCTACTTGGCATCATAAAATTGAGGGCATTGAAACAATCACACGACATGAATGCATAATTGCGCTTACCAGAGCACCATGATTGGGCAAAGTTATAGAAATAATGTGAATGTTACACAAACTGAACAGATAACAAAATTACAGATTCTAATTAATATAAACATGACTGTAAATCACAAGAGCATACCATCCACGAGAGGAAGGTCCTCTGTCGGACTAAGTGCATCAGCCTTAGCTCGCCTTAGGATTTGCTTGACAACACCTCCATCGGCCGTTAAATTAACCGTATTATCACCCATGGCTGCTGAACTCTTAATAGCCTATGACAAGCAAAAAGAAACATTAACCACTAAAAACCCTCACTCAAATCACAAATGCCACTAGATCATACACCTAAACTAATGGTTCAATAGTGTTTTTATCTCCTTGACAGCACAAAGCCGCCAAAAGGAGGTCTTGATCGTTTGGAATCTTCATGAAAATTGTAATACAAGAAAAACCCCAACCGGGATTGTGCAATTTAACTTTTAATGACTAAAATTTGTCAAAAATCTTATCTTTTTTGATGTATTCTATCTCAATTGCTCTAAAACAAATACTTTACAATACTATCTATCAAAGACATAGAATTTGATTTTTCAATAATTCTAATTCACAGCTCCCTAAATTATACAACTACCAAAAAAAAAGTAACCAGCTATAGCGAGACAGAAGTAATGAGACTAACCCGTATCGAGGTGACTTCGAAGATTACTGAGCGAAAGGTGAAGATCGGGTTGATGAATTGATTCGGGAACGATAAATCGAGAGAAATTGCCGTAGGTTTTGGTGGCCATAGGCGTCTGGTGAGTTCGTCTTGGCTGAGTTGTGAGATACCATTTTTGTATGTAAAATTTAAAAAATATGATCTCACTCTGTCACTCGTTTAGGTGGCGCGTCTGATATGTGATTCTATGACAGGAACACAATTTGTGCAGTGTGTGTTTAACGTGCAAGAATAGCGCGTGGATTTCTGGATTTGATTCTCTCTCACAAAGTAAAAGGCCTATTGGGCCTTAAATATAGGCCCAACTAGAAGAATGTCGAAGAAGAAAAAGGTAACCACTTTCATTTTGATTCTCACTAGCTTTATCCATTGGCCAATATTATACTTACAAATTTTTTCTCGTAACACCAACGTGACAGTTTATAAATAGGTCCCGTCTGCTTATTATGAGTCTCGTATACTTAGTTATAAGCTATTACATCAGAGTTATGAGCTAATCTTTATTGTTATCCATATTCTAAACAAATGAATAAATAATAATAATAATAATAATAAAAAGTGTTTCTTCTCTATTTATTATGCATTTAAAAGTGTTTTTTCAAATTTATTAAAACCAATTTCATATCTCGACACTTTTCTTATTTAGAACCCAAATTCGGTCCCTATCAAATGGGATTATTCATTGTAATTTTCATGAAGCTAAAATTTATCCCAAGTCCAATGAATTTGCTTACACATTTAAGGCTCATTTGTGGTCCAATATCTAAACCCTAAGCAACCCAAATAATCCAATCTAAAAACCCATGTGAAGTACATGTAAAATTCTAATTAAAGATCATACCCCTAAGCTTTTGGGGTCCCCTGCCCCTAGTGTTGGGCCTTTTAGGGTCCCTGCCCTTGATAATTGCTAAAATCCAACTATACAATAAATAAAATGATTGTGGACCCACTTCGGGCATAACCCATGTCTCAGGATAACCTATAGGTTCATGACACGTGTACGGAATAATTTTGACCAGGGGCTTATCAGAATTGTCCTTTTTTGCGGGGCGCTGATGTGACCATTGACCAAAAGGGGACCCTATATAGGTGTTGCTTTGAAATTTTGTCCTCTTTGGAAAAGGCTTTTAGGGCTAGTAGGCCCACAAAGTGTTTAGGCGTTGAGGAGGCATTTCGGGCTTTATTAAGGGTGCTTTTGGGTTTTAAATCGGGTCCACTTCTAAAGATTTCTTTGTTGTTACTCGCAGTGGAAGAAGAAGAAGAATTAGTGGAGATTGGAATCATTAATGGATAGAGATAACGAGGTTTTAAGAATCTATGGTAGCTTTTCCTGCCTTCAATATTGGACCACTCTTATCAACCTTTTCGCCCAATTGACTAAATCCATATATATTTATATTCGATTTAAATCTCTATAAAATCTTACGTTAGACAAACATATTATAACTTTATGACTTTATTCATACATTATTATCTCTATCGCTAGTTTTTACATCATGATCCATAGGGGGCATATCACCTCTTATACAAGTTTTACGATAATTTTAAATTTTTATATATCAAAATTACAATTTCACCATTTAACGCCCACATCGAGGTACGTAACTTTATTTATGCTTTGATATCCTCAGTTGAATTATGTGAAAGTTATTTTAAACAAGTGTGAAGGAAATTCTTTAAAATGTTATTAGGGGTAAAATGATAATTCCACTCATAATTAGATGAAAGAGTGGGGAATGAAAAAAAGTAGAATAATATGGAGAAGTTAATAAAAATGAGGGTATTTTTGTAATTGATTAAGGGACATAAATGAAATTTTTAGAAATTATTATCTTGATGTAGAGATTTGTATATAAAGAAAAATTAGTTATGGGTTCTCTATTTCATACTTATATATATATTTTTTATAATATGTTTACTGAGTTTTACTTATATTTTTTCAAAGAACTACTAGCTAGAAAGGATATTACATACCATCTAGAAGATTCTTTTTAAAAAAATACCTTGTTTCTGAAATAAATACAATTTCTTAAACGAAATTGTTTAACTTTGGTCCCCTACTTATTTTTTGGGTGTGATAATAAATATAATTTAGTCCTAAAAATGTGGCTTTTAAGACTGTTATTAAATAACCAACTTTCTCTTAATCATTTGATAATATATTTGATTGAGACAAATTATAAATAATTGAATTAAACAAAAAAATGCTTCTGAAAAAAGCAATTTCAAATTGAAATAATCACGCATGTTTTGTCAAATTGGGCATGCAATTGGGGACACCACCATCACTTAATTAATTAATTAAATAAGCATGAAAAGGAAAAATCAACCGAAATCCCCTTTTTGTTAGTAAGAGTAAAAGACGCCCCACAAATGCCAAGGAAAAAAAAGAAAAAAGCAAATCCAATTAAGATTCATAATCATTAATTAAGATCCTAAATAATAATCTAATGATAAGTGGATTAGATATGTAGGGTGACTATGTTTTCTCTTTTTTCCTTATATGACCTATTTTACTTATGGGCCACCTCTCTATTAATCTCTACAAAAATATTTTAACTATTTTTTTCCCCTTTTGTCGTTTTGTTTTATTTGATGGATCCGGTTTTGGCACGCCAAGGCTAAATTCAATCATTAATGGTGCAGTCTTAATTTTGTTTTGATTAGAGGGAAAAAAAGTGCATTAGAAAGAGAAGATTTCATGCAAAGCAAAGGTTCTTGTTTGACTTGAATCAGCGTGGAAGACCGAAAAAAGTAAAAAAGAGTGGGGGAAAATTGAAAAGAAAATCTAGGAAAGTGAGAGAAAATGAAGGAAAATTAGTTTCATAGCCCACAAATGTAGTTGGGAAAAGTTATATTGTGTGATCAAAGTATAGTTAAAACCTAATTAAACATGTGAAAGGGTGAAATTGCATTTAATTCTCAAACCTAATTTCTATGGCCCAAGAAAAGAAAATATAACTACCTTAGCTTTTTTTTTTTTTTTTTTTTTATAAAAATTGAATGGATGGCTTAAGCTTAGCCACAATTAAAATTATGAAGTAAGCAATAAATTAAATAATTTTTATTTAATGAACGGAAATATTATGGCTAGTCAAACATAAATCATGGATATATCAAGTAAGTCAAAGCAATTTAGGCACTCCAAAAAGGGACAAGAGTACATTGTTGATGGGAGTGGGATGTATAATTACAGTCAAAATAAAACAAAAGGAATGATGATGTGATGAATGTCATGATAAAAGTAATGTTATAAATTTGAACAAAATAAGTGCCTAATTTTTTCTTTTTAAATGGGTTTATACGCATCTTAAATAATATTTGAAGACCCTGAAATGTATGATTGAATAAAAGTTTAAGTGGTTATCCTATTATTATTTGAGAAAAGACTCAAATTTATGATTTTTTGAGTAAGAAATGCCTAATTTGATAGATGGATACCTAATTTAAAACTAAAAAAATTTATTTGTATCTTAACATTTTGAGATATGTTCATATATTATGGGACAATACTATACTTATAACCCAATCTTACAAATTCTCTCTAATGGCAACTCTTAATTTTTTGTTGATGAATTTTCCAAAATTCAAAATTCATATGCAAAGAACTAGGAACTGCCACATAGGGGTTGTGAGCCAAACTTTATTGTATATTATGATATAAAATGTTTTTTTTTTTTTTTATGATTATATATATAAATGATTTATTATAAAGACTAGTGTTTTTAAGTTGGAGAATACTACACCCACAATCTCTTCTTTCAAACTTCCTTTCACAATCCCAATGTAATAACTTGTAATTGGTCAACTCATAATATGTCCCACTTGGGTCCACCTGATAAATTGTAACTGATCAAATTGTGAGTTGCTATGTCGGGGTTGTGAAAAAAAGTTTACGAGGAGAGGTTATGGGTAAAAAAAGTTTACGAGGAGAGGTTATGGGTGTAACATTACTCTTTTAAGTTAGTAAAGTGATAACCACCACTGAATAACTTGATAATAAAAAAGCAAAATAGTCTTATTTGATAAATTACAACTAACTAATTGCGAGTTACCACATCGGAGTTGTGAAAAAAAATTTACGAGAAGAAATTAAGGGTGTAATATTACTTTTTTAAGTCAGTGAAGTGATAACCACCACTAGATAATTTGATAGGAAAAAAACAAAATGGTGAATTCCTTTAAACACAATATTGATAAGATTAACGCGACTGTTAATTGTAGGATTATCGAAGATTGGTTTGGGCTAATGGCCGGACACCACTTTTTTAACAAAATAAAAAAAAAGAAAAAAAAAAGGATCGTGAAGTGATGCCACGTGTAACAATTGTGAAGCTTAGTCAGCAAATGGAGGGCAGCTTGCAATTTCCAAAGCTACATTAATAGATAAATAAATAAATATGAAATTCTAATTATTACTTAATTAAAAAATAGTTTTTCTGCACATTACTGAATTTAGTATTTGAAACTTTATGATTTCCAAAGAGTGCCATTTTTGTAACCAATGCACAGATCCATCATTACACTACACTACACTCCCACAATGTCAACTACAGGGAAACCCAGCTGTAATTTTCCAAATGACAAAATTACCCCCACCATCAACCCCCTAAGTCCTTTTTACTATTACTTTAAAAAAAAAAAAATAATCACATGCTTAAGAATCTCTTCACCTATATTTTTAAAATTAAAATTAAAATTGTCAAAAATATTTTCTACTGCAGGAGAATTCTGAAAATATAAGCCTTAATTTTTAAAATATTGCTACAAAGTTGAGGAAATGACCCATTTCCGAAACTAGCCCCACATAAAACGGAGGTTAAAGAGGGTTGTTTCATGTCAGACTGATAGATTTTAGGGAAAAAGGTCATATTGTTGAGAAATTTACCATGAAAATTGTGCCTAATTACTTCTCCACTATGACCTCAATAGATACTGTGGAATGACAGCAGCAGAATTTCTTTTTAATACTTTAAATTCAATTACCAAAACAAAAAGTTGTTCAAAAAAAAAAAAAAAAAAGGAGGAAATTAATTAAAGAATCATCTCTCTCTGGCTGTGACCCTTAAGATATTCAAAAGAGTCTCACCCACGTTGAGCCATCTTCTACTC